TCAGCCAAAGATTAGACAGGCCCATAAAACAAAACGAGACTAATGGGGCACAGCAGCCCAGGGACAAGGACTAGAAGGTATGAGGGGACAGGAAAGCTGGTAATAGGGAACCCAAGGTCGAGAAGGGAGAGTGTTGACATGTCATGGGGTTGTTAACCAGTGTCATAAAACAATATGTATACTAACTGTTTAATGACAAACTATTTGTTCTGTAAACCTTCATCTAAAGTTCAATTTATAAAAAAAAAAAAAGGAAAAAAAAAGTTTTGATTGTAATTATTCTCTAGTCCCAACCATATGCTAAGCCATCCGTGTAAACTAGTACATATGTATCGCTTAAAAGAAACTACACTAGGCTAAAATATAACACATAACAGTGGTTTTAAAATCACTACCTGGACCCTCCCTAGGAGCTCCATAGTGTTGCCCTGGGAACTGCTGGGGGGAAGAGGGGAGTTGTCTTAGGATGGGTTCTCTAGAGAAGCAAACCAGTAAAGCATATAAATATATATAGAGAGAGAGATCTATATCAAGGAAAGCTCAACAGTTACAGAGGCTGGAGCATTCCAAGTCCATGGATCAGGATAGAGGCTTCTCCCAATTCATGTAGCCACGGGGTTGGTGAACCCAAGATCGGCAGGTAGGAGAGCAGGGCTTTTGCTCACAGGCTGTGAAGATCCACGATTCCCAAGATCAGCAGATAAGCCGATAGCTCAAGTCCCAAGAACCAGAGGTCAGGTGAACAGGAGCCAGCTGCAGGATCCAGAGCGAGCAAAAAGCCAGAATGTCTGCTTATATTCGGATGCAGGCCACATGACCAAGGAAACTCCCTTTCAACCAATTGGCTACTCAGAGCAGATCCCATCATGGGGGTGATCACATACAAACACTGAGAATCACGGCCCAGCCAAGCTGACACACAAACTTAACCATCATAGGAGTCAAAGAGGTCTCCTACTTCTCACTTCAGCCTGTGTGTGTGCATGTGCATGTGTGCACAGGAGTGTACGTGCACTCCTGCACACACATAAATAAACAGACTTTATTATATAGAAAATAGTAATGGATTTCTAATAGAGAGTATTTAAAGACTGGTAGACTCCATTTTATTGATCCTGAGATGCACATTTTTTCACATTTTAACATCTCTGAAATTGAGATCTATCTTAAAAATTGATGGTGTGTCATAGTTTAATGAGCAGTGTTTTTTAAAGTAGTGGTTCATAAGATAATGGGATTTTTTTTTTAAATATGATATGTTAAGAATTAGAAAAAGATGGTTTTTAAAGGGAGGGATGATTTCATCAATATAACATGGTATTCCTAGCAACTGTCATCATGGAAACCAGGCAAGTAGGCCTTAAATTTTATAGTCCCATCTATACTATTCATTTTAGGTTACATTTTTATGAATAGTCATAGACTGTACTGTCTAATACAGAAGCTACAAGCTAAATATGGCCAATTACATTAAATAAAATTAAAATTCAGCTCCTCGGTTGCACTAGCCACATGTGGCTACCATATTAGACAAGTGCATTGTTACAGCACAAATGTTATAGAAAACATCCATCATCACAGGAAGTCCAGTTGGACAATGCTGGTCATAGGAGTTCACCAGCTCATATCCACAATTCCAAAAAACTCTGACAAGTTTGCCACAAACTCGTTTGGCAGCAAAACTGACCTGAACTTGCATGAGGCTATTGAGTCTTACATCATTTATAGCAAATATTCATATATTTCACTGTAAAAATGCACCACAAAAGTATTAATGAGATTAATTATAGGGTATTAACCCACACCTCTGGGAATGTTACATAATGTACAGTATACCTTATTACAACACATATGCTTCAAAGATTTCAGATAAGGGACTGTGGACCTGTATTTGAAGAGAGGAGTTCTATTTAATGAAAAGAAAAAGTAGATACTCTTAACATCTGCTACTTATATAATCTTGGAAAAGTCATCTTAACTTCTCTGAGCCTCACTTTCACCATTTTTAAAATGAGTATATAAATAATAATCACATTTCCCTTATCTACTTAACCAGGGTTGTTTTAAAGATACATTAAGATAATAACTGTGAAAATATTTTATAAACTGCTCTGTACAGGTTATTAGGAGGACATTAGAGTTGATATGATTTGACATAGCTAACTTTTGTTTTTTTTGTGTGGTTTTAATTCTTAGATTGGGGCTGCTAGTCGTATACCTGGAGTGACACCTGCCGCCATCATCAATCTGCTCAGATTTGTGAAGACTACTCAGCAAAGACAAGCAGCTATGGATGAATTGTCCAAAACTGGTCAATTCTTACGTGAAACAGACAAACTTCAAGAGAGAGAATTATAGCTTTCTGTTCATAGAAGACATTTAAAGAGAATGTAAATAATTTAAACAATACAAAGGTATAGATAGGAGATGAGAACTATTTAGCACCTATTAAACTAGCCTTATTAGATTATTATGGGTTTGTCATTAATTTATGAAGAGGGCAGAGATTATAATTGTGTCTTTTTGTGTATCTGAAAAAATAATTGCACATTTAATTTATACTGTTTCTTCCAGGAGCTCTAATATAGTGAGCCTACTCCTACGACATTGTGCAACATTCATCCAAGAGAGGTATAGTGGACATAAAACTGAAGCTGGGGAAAAAAAACTAACCTTGCTGATTTGCCTACTCATAAGGACTTCATCCATTAAGCATACCAAATTGAAAGTCTTATCTTTTAACCTGTTTTGAAAGCTAGTAATCTTATACTTAGTTAGGGTAGTTCAGAAGGCAGTATGAAAGCTGTATTAACTAGTCACCAAATTCTTAGGGCTAAAAATTTGAGACTATACAAAATCATCCAGAATCAGTCAGCTATTCCAATATTGAAATGTAGCATGCAGAGTGAAAGTTGACTTCTAAGATTTCTGTACTTCTATAGGAAATCGCCACCAGTAACCATCTTTGAACATTAATGAATGCCCTATAAAATAGAAATATTGGAAATTACTGTAGCTTCCTATCATCCAAAATATAGAAACTTATTTGGTAACCTGGTTAAGGGAGAATAAAGTAAAGGTAGTTATTTTGTATCATACAATAAAGATGTTTTCTTATGAAATTGTCATGGTCATGATTTCTTAACATTGAAGACAGATCCACAGTAACTGATGACTAGTGTTTCCTTGCTTTTAAGTCAAGGAATTGATAGAGAAACCAGAATGCTGTTGATACTCCTGTTCCTCTTCTGTACTTTGATGGTGTGGTCACAAGGGCTAAGGTGGGAAAATCAGCTGGGCCCTTTGGCTGGCTCCTCAGACATCTCAGCCTTTCTTGGATAGACTAGGGGATGAATACAGCCAAGTGAGCCAGAGGGCCATGCCTGCCTCTGGAAATGCCAACCCAGATCTCTGGTGTCAGCCAAGGGAGAAGCTCCCATGTCAGCTTCAGGCCAAAGCAGGTACTTAGGACAGCTTCAAGGGCCCCAAAGTCACTTTGGCTGCAGATCTATGTGTTAAGCCTATCTGGAGGCCTGATTATAGGTGTGAGGCAGACAACTATCTTGCTATAATCACATATGGCCAGTTGGATATAGCTCAGTTCTCTTAGATTTGTTTCATCTAATTTTAGTCTTTCCAGAAAGCAGTCAGATTAGCAGCAAGTAAAAAGTGTTTGTAATGCTGGATCATTTAGTAATGATGAATTCTTTTTGATACTTGATTTAGTAATTTCAAAAGGCTGTAAATTTTAGTTATTATGTTTACTCCTGGACATAGTTCTTTATTATAGACAGTGTTGATTACAATAAACCTGTTGCTGTCGAGTCGATTCAGACTCATAGCTACCCTATGGGACAAATTAGAATTGCACCATAGGGTTTCCAAGACTGTAAATCTTTACAGAGGCAGACTGCCACATCTTTCTCCTGTGGAGTAGCTGGTGGATTCAAACCACCAACCTTTCAGTTAGCAGCTGAGTGCCTTAACCACTGTGCCACCAGGGCTCCTATTGATTACAGTACTGTATTGTATATTTTTAAAAGGAGGTATTTTATGCTACCTGTTTAGCACTAGAAGGGAAAGTTTTTGTTTTTGTGGTTAAATACAGGAGTAAAAGCAATGAATGGAATATAACAAAAATTTATCTTGAGGAAATAAAGGTTCTTGGCAGTCTAGCGATACTACATCTATAAAGAAACTTCAGGTTCGTTATTTCCTAGTGTAGCGATACCTTTTTTTTATCCCTTTGTCAAGAGGTTAAAAGATGGAATGCTGTATACCATTACAATAGTAACTGTTTCACTGAAAATGTTTAATGAAAACATTTGTTTTAGGTTCTGCCATTTGCTTTAGGATATGGAACCTCTTTAAATTCACAGTTTTAAATGTGTTTCTGTAAAAGATTACATCACTTAAAATAATATTTCAGAGCAGTCTGTCTTCTGAAACTGCTAGCCAGAGCTACAGAAGATGATGCTCTAGGAAAAGAGAAAAAAGTAACCTTGCTCAGTCCAGCTACTTTGTAGAAATACCCCATCACTGACAATAGCTTCCAACAGAAGTTGGCCACGCTTTCGATTTCCTCCACACACCACAGACCACACTGTCTAGCAGTCTGGGACACCAGGCACTAGAGTTCATTTCAACAGAACACTAAAATATAAAAGAGGAAATGGCTAAGAAACACTAAGCACTTCTAAAATCATTGTTTGGGGGAAGAAGGATGAAGATAGAGACCTATGCTAAGTTAAACCATTATGGCCTTGAATTGTGAAGTAACTTTATAGCCAAGAGTTTGAATTTTACTAGATTGTTTTGTAAGTATTTTGTCATTTTTTGAGTTTCAACCTAGATTTGAATAGCCACAGCTTTTCCACTTAAGAAATCTTAACTCCTAGAGGAGTGCCCTGTCCAGAAGTAGTCAGGAATATCAGGAAAATCACCAACAGAGACTTGAGGCTCATCTCAACTGTTAGAGCAGCTTGTGCTGAACGGCACACTGTAAAAATAAGTTTTTCCTCCTAGACTTCCTCTCCACTTCTATTACTACACTTATTTCATTCCACTTTTTTAGTATCTGTCTACTCTAACAAGATATAAACCTCTTGAGTGCAAGGAATACCATAGTTAAAGGCACTCAGGACATGCTTTATGAATGAAAGAATGTTTCTAATGCTAAGAGCAACACTAACACTCAAATGAGTAATAAAATGGGATAAAAATATTTATGAGACACAAATATTAAGAACTATACAGTTTTATATTTACCTTTTTCTGTCTCTGTAACTGTCTTCTGTCTTCACACGCTCTTCAGCTTCATTTCCTTCCTGTCTTCTTGCCCTATCCCTGATTTTCACTACTCCTAATATATGAAGCTTATTTTTATGATAGTCATTTTCTTTATTAAACAGATTTTTTTTCTTAGTTTAAGATGAATTAGTTTGTATATGTATCTCTGTCCCTAAACCTATTTCAGTTAATTTATTGATAATTTGTCCCCTGCTTATTTCCAGTAAAACAGTTGACACATTTTAAAGAAAAACGGAACAGTTTAATATTGAAGTTCAGCTGAGGAAAAGGCAGACTTTACTTAAATTATTACATGCCAGCTCTCAGCTTCCTGGCAGTGATGTCAAAAGAAGAAAAACAATTGGTTATGTACTTATTTTTGTCTCACAAAGAGGACCAGAAGAAAATTTTTTCCTATCACCAAAATCTAAGAGAAATGTATCACATGATTCCTTAAGGAAAACAATGCCTTCACTGGTGATTTTATAAAAGATGAAAGAAGGTACCACCTAATAAGTGTTTACCGTGTGCCAGATACTAAGTGCCTTATATGCATTATTGCATTTGTTAGCTGCCTTCGAGTCATTAAAGATGTTTCCGTTCTAGAGACAAGGTAAACAAGACTTGGAAATTATAAGTAACTTGCCTATAATAAATACTGCTGGTTGTCATCTGCCCGCTGCCTTCTTCTTTACCAAAAGAACCACAATTTTGTTTATTTTTTTCCCTTTGGCAGCCCCAGAAGCTCAATTTTGATTAGTTTAAGCCAGTCTTGGTCATCGCACTCACCCCAGTGTTGGTCTAGGCCTGAGGCTGGGGGTGCAAACTGACACAATTAATTATAAAGGGGGTCTTCTGGGTAGCGTCTTTGCTCTTAAAAAGGGCATCTCTTTCTAAGTTGACAAAAATGTTCTGAAATTAGGTTATGGTGATTGTTGCACAACTCTGTAATACACAAAAACAACACTTTAAAAGGATGAATTTTATGGTATGTGAATTACACCTCAATAAAGCTGTTATTTAGAAGCCATTCCCGGAGACCACCTTCCAGCCAAACCATAGACAGGCTCATAAAATAAACAACACCTGAGAGGAACACGCGCCTTAGAACAACCTATTATACAAGATCAAAAAGGGCAATATTTGCCCAAAAGCAAAGATGAGAAGGCAGGAAGGGGTAGCAATTCATGATGAAAGGAAACAGGGAAACTAGTACAGAAACAGGAGGAGGACGGGCACATTGTGGGGAATGGAACAAACGGCATGGAACACTTTGGGTACAAACTGTTGAATAGGAAACTAATTTGCCCTGTAATCTTCCTAATGCACAATAAAAAAATTTATTTAAAAAAGCTGTTATTTAAAAATAAAGGAATGTATGATTGGCACACCCTTGAGCAATTATTCTCAAGACTAGCGGGACATCAGAATTCCCAATGGAGCTTGTAAAAAATGTTGATGGCCAAGTCTTACCCCCGAGCAATTCTGATTGAGTCAGCTTGGGGAGGGCTTGGGCATCTTATGTTTAACAAGCTCCATGGATTATTCTGATGCCAACCCAACTGTGCAAACAACTTATCTCCATAAATATCCATTGTCTCAGATGCTTTTGGCAGAAACTAGATTGCAATTAATCTGAGCGTGTTCGCTGGCTCAGCAACCTAGAATGTAAATAAATCTGTATTGTTGTTTGAAGTACTAGAGCAATTCATTTGTACAGAAAGCTAAACTCAGATTCTGTTATGAAAATTCAAATCTAAAGGAAAGCCATTCCACCTGCCAGTGAGAGGTGGGCCATGATTTGTGGACAAGACCAAATTTTTTTCAAATGTAAGTTTTGGGCCTGCCTGAATGCCTGGGCAAGTATAGCCTGAGACCCTATGCTTTCATGCTATAGGGAAAGGATGAAATTATTTTGACCTAGAACCTCATTTTGACTGACACTGATCTAAGTCAACATTTTTCAGACTGCTGTCTACAATTCATTAGTAGATCATGAATTGATTTTTTACTTACTAAGAGTACTATTTCCTGAAACTTTTGTTTCAGTAACTCATACTCGGATATTTCACCAATTTTAACATACGTATTTTTTTCCATATATTAACATCTCTAAGTTGACATGTGTGATGGTTAAGGTTGTGTGTCGACTTGGCTGGGCCATGATTCTTAGTGGTTTGGCAGTTATGATGTAGTTTGGCAGTCGTATGACAACATGATCACTTCTATGATGAGATTTGATATAATGTGATCACCTCCATGATGGGATCTGCTGTGAGAAGCCAATCAGTTGAAAGGGAGTTTCCTTGCAGGATGTGGCCTGCATCCAACATAGGTGGACTTTCTGGCAAAGCTCATGCACTTTTGCCCCCTCTGGATCCTGCAGCTGGCTCCTGTTCGTCTGACCGCTGGTTCTTAGGACTTGAGCTAGCAGCTTACCTGCCATCTTGCCTGCCAG